GCAACGGAGAATTTGCGCTACCAACGCGGAAGAATTCTTCCTTCAGGCAAAGCCGCGTCAACGTTGGCAACCCTTTCAACTGGAGGATTTTGCTGACGGAACCTCTCGATTCGTGCGGCGCTGGCGTCTTGTTAGTTGCCGGCAAAGGCATTGCGTTTATGAATTTTGTGACGTTACGGGTTGGCACTTGGAGGCCGTGTTCAGCCAAGTAGCGTCTTCCAAGCAGCATTCTTCCCCAGAGTGGGCAGAACACGGACGTCTCCCTGGTCGGTCCGTAAGCGTGGACGGCTACACCCTCACCCTGCAGCAAATCCACCTACTGGTACAGCCACAACCTCCTCTTTGCGGCACGGCCTCCAACTTTGTGGTGTACACGTCTAAGGCCGGGGGACCAGGAATGCACTTCTTCGACGACGTCACCTCCGTCGTCGGAAAGCGCAAGGCTATCTCCAGGGCCGACGCTGCCGCGACTTCCCAGTTTGGCCCATGCCTCGAAAGGTGAACACCAAGAATGTAACATGGTCTGCAAAGGGCATGCCATTTTTTAATCAGCGGATCTGACAAACTGCGGATCTCCACGGAAGACGCGTACCGCGAAGGGTGCTGGCGGCGCGGTCTCGCGCGGCAGCTGCTTCCCGGGCGAGTCGCCCATCCGGCGGCCCTAGGCATAGCAGTCCAGCCAAAGCTCCAGCGGTGGCAGCAACGCCCGCTCCTGGAACTGCATGTTTTCTTTCCTAGCTGCAAAGCAACAAACGTGGAAATCCGAACAGCATTGAGCGGGTGCAACATTGCGTTGAAGCTACCATTCCTTTTGTGCGAGAGAGACAAGGCGATACCTACAGACTTGTCCGCGGGCACTTGTCAGCCCAGGGCTGGAACGAGCGCCGCCCCGTTATTGCTTAGCTTTTATCAGTCCTCGCAGCATTCATTGATGCTTTGCAGTTGTAAGCGCATGCCGTCTGAGGACGCTAGAGGGTCTGGCTTGGAGACCCATACAACGCTTGGAGCTGACTAGAGCTACATACACCCCTCCTCCTAAACAGTTGTTTCAACAAATCCCATGTTGCTCTGACAAGAAGTCTCATTGACAGTTTGACAACTGCCAAGCAAACTCGCCAACAACCGGGGGAGGCTTTGTGATCGCAGCGCCGCGCTCGGCTCGGTGAGAGCGTGGCTAGTGGGAGCAAGTCGGGCGGCTGGCAGCTTAGCCGCATGGCGGCCGAAGAAGACACGGCAGGCTGGAGTTTGGTGGGGGGCAGTTTTACGAGCGCTGCCGCGAGTTGGAACGCGACATCCTCGCGGGCAAGCGCAACAACCTGCTGCTGCTGGGCGGCCGCATTTTGCCGTCCTGAAGCCCAGGCAGGCGGAAGGCCGGCCGTGGCAGGCCGAAGGCCAGCCAGCCCCAAGACGCCCGCAAGAAGAAGGCAGCGCGAGCAAAGAGCCGCAAAGCCGCGTGAGTGCCGTTGGAAGGGGAACTTCCGCACGCCCGCGCATACGGAGGCCAAAGTCATAAATTATGTGATATGGTAAGTGAAGAGGATGAAGAAGATGAAGAAGAAGGAGATGTAAAAGCATCATATTACATATTGAATGTAAAAGATAAAGCAGTGTTGAAGAATGGTTATAGGTGTATTAAGGAATTGCTGTTACAACATCACAATTATATAAAATCTCAATATGTTCACGAATTAGTACTAAATGGTATTCATGTGTACAGTGTAAAAACTCATGCTTTTGTAACTGATACGTGCGATGTAGAGAAGGCAGAGGAATTTTTCTTTCTCATATTGATACAGGAGGCTGGAAGGTTTCGAAACAAGATGAAGAAATTGATTTACCTACAGTAAAACATGAAGTTGCTAAAAATGAAATAGTAGAACTACCAGTTTATGAAAGTTCAACTGTTCAAAATAATAAAAGTTGTTGAGCAGAAAAAATGTAAGCGACTTAACACACAGGAAGATAAGGATAAACTAAGAAATGAAAAAATTGACATTTTTGAAAATACATCACCTATTATGAAAGATATTGAAAAATATTTCCAATACACAACTGACATAAGCAATTCTAACAACAACGTAGCATTTTTAAATACAACCTGTGAAAACGTATCAAATGAAATTAGAAAATTGGAAAATAGAAAGGATGAATATCAAGCCGGAGAATTCTTAATTCAGTTTTTAATTTTAAGGATAACATCGTCCATATTGGAAGCGATGGAATTTTTTCTTTAAAGAATGTTAAAACCGAAGTATTACAATCCTTAGATGTTGGAAAGGTGAGAAGTAATTCTATATTCAGTTGAATTGAATAATATAATTCCTTATTGTACCCGCTGAAGTTGTAGTTGTAAATAGTAGGTATTGATTTCAGGTATTTAAAGAGATGGTAATATATAGTAGGTGTGTAGTATGGATAAACTACCACTGATTTATTTGAAGGATACAAGACGCGCGAAACGCAGGGCAACAGCAAGACAACATTATGACAAATGTGAGGATGAAATCAATGCCAAGAGGAAGGAAGAAAGAGCTAAAAATAGCACTTATTGTAAGGAATGCGGGCAAAATGTTCGTCTTAAAAATTGGGATGAGCGTTTTAACTGGGTTCGGCATACAGGTTCCGAGCTTAATATGTTGTCCAAGGACTTTAACAAACGGTTCTATGATTCGAAACTATCAAATGAAGAACGTGAAGAAAACAGACGCGATTATTACAATAAAAAACGGGATATTTACAAACGATTAAGCGAAATATACCCAAATAGCAAATGGAATGAAGAAATACTAGACCCCGAACCGCTCAAGCCACGAGAAATACAACAACCGTTTGAATTACATTAGCTAAGACCTTTAATACGCTAAAACAATACTATAATTTTAACATGTAAAATATTATATGTTATAATTATATATAGCGTTTTATATTTTGAAAATAAAATCTGACAAGGAAGACCATGCCCATAAAAATTGGATGATGAAAACACTTGTTATAGGACTTATCATAAGACTTTTTACATCATTTGGCGGGCGGGAGTCATGTCGGTCTTAGAAAAGAAACTAATTGAAACCGACTTAAATAAGTACTGATTTAAGATATTAAGAGGAAAATGACACTGTTTACTTATAGCAATTGTCCTTGTAAAAATATGAAACGTAAAACTGCTGTAGCGTTAGCAAATAGATTACCTGTTAATGTTTGTAATGTTGCGTTTTGAAAGAGAAAGAACATATGTTTATGGATAGTAGGGATTTACCTGAAGAAGGATTAAAGAAGATAGAGCTACAATTTTTGCTTGTTACATGTTTTAATATTAATCATATGAACAAACTAATGTCTAATTGTGATTTTTTAAAAAAAACAAATTGATATATTATATGATAAAGAGGACGTAAAAGAGCGATTTCAAAATAGGAAACTGTATTATCAAGCGATTACATCATACTGCAAAAATAATATTGATGACGTTAAAACAGTTCTAATTCATTCAAGATAAATTAACCTTGTAAAATTTAAAAAGTTGTTGGTCATATAGACATACAGATTGTTTAATGATAGATATATTAAGCGATTTAATTGAGATTTACAAAAACCAATCAATAAAAGGATATGATCATTATTGTTGTGGAACAGGGTTGACAAGTTATTCTAATCATATTGTTTATGAAATTCAATGTGGATAGAAATTAAAACTGTTTGTTTATATTATTTGATTATAATACCAATTAACATAGTAAAATTTTACAGCCTTTCATTATACTATACTTCTACTCTATAACATATCTTCATTTTTGATAAATACTATATTTTCTTAACTTGCTTACGTCTTTCAAAGTGCGTCCATGCCATTAAAATTGGATGATACAACTGCTGAACAGTTTGTTAGTGTTTGCCTAGTTCATGGTCTGACTGTGCAAGGATTGCCTGGCTTTCTTTGCGCAACGGACTCACTGTTGCATTATACAGACAGAAGTTCACAGCATACTTGCATTTTCTACCCGTGTTGCCAGACAGTTGCTGGCTTGCCGATTTTTTGGACCATTGTTGCGGCTACCTGAGCAGAGTCTCTCACATCAATGGGCGCATTTCAGTGTCAGTATGCCAGCGGTCGTGAGGCCGAAACCTTCATCTCCAAAATCACCCACCTTTCAGACTGGTGCCACGGAACATGTGGCCAGCACATAATGTTTCTTTGGGAAATCTCACGGCTGCATTTTCCACGCTGCTTGCAAGCAAGCCTCGGGGGAGCAGGACGACTGAATTATTTGGTTTTATATGCTGGCCAGTCATCATGCTTTGGGCCCGGACGCCCTTTTTAGCCCCTCCCTCACCTGGCAAAGCGCCCGCAAATTGGAGCTGCCGACAAACATGGATGCAGTTGCAACTTTTCCCAGGAGGCTCTTTGCACTCACATCTGGAGGAAGTGTGTGGAAAGGGGGGCTCACTGCTGAAGCCCCGCAGTGTACATGTCTCCACAGTATCTCGGTGAAAAGGACGTCCAAGCAGAGTGTCTTACAAGCTATGTCAGCGGTGAGGCACTAGGGGCCCTTTGTGCGATCCTCTTTGCCTGGTGGGTAAGTGTGGAGAAGGCAGGCGACATGCGAACGCACCACGGGAAGGGGCTTCAGTCACGCACTTTTTGTCACCGGACGATCACCATGTTTCTAGTTCTCGACTCAAGACGAGACAAGATAGGACGAACATGGCCATGCGGACAACAAACACAGGTTGCCGGCTTTCTGGCTTTGTCATAAGGATGGAGCCTTGCCTTGCAAGCTCTTGGAAGCATAGTCAGCTACCTGAAGCTCTGGACTATCACGCGGAACATGCTGGTGTTTGCATTAGGCGCGTTTTGTGGTCGAAAGGTGTGAAACAAACAAAAAAGTGATTATAACAACCCAACTCTAACGGACTCACGTAATACTTTGCTGTGTTGGGCTTGTCGAGGAAGAATGCATGTGCTGTTTCCAACGTTCCATCACACGGGTTGATGTGTATTGTCAAGCCTGAAACTTTGTCACCTAGTTTCGTGACATGGCCTGGGAACATGGTGCTTCCGGGCGCCTGGGCCCTGCTGCTTGGCTCAGTGCGAGGCTTTGGCGGTGCCACCTTTCTTTACAGAAGCAAAGCAGCCACCCAAACAGTGAACTGCCGAGTCCTTCCTGTGGGTCCTGTAAGCAACTTAAAAAGGAATCTTCATGCAGAGGGGAGTGACTAACCATTGTTTCTCGTGCCTTCAGTTTGCATCATGCACTTAAGCCCCAGTTTGCATTCTGAACATAGTGATAGCACAATATGCATATATATATATACATATGATATGGCAGTGTTTTTTTTGGAGGGGTCTGTAACAGAGCCGCGGCGGACATTCGTTACAGACCTCGTTACAGACTTCTGTAACAGGACCCGCTGGCTCGTTACACACCCCTCGTTACACATCCTCGTTACACATTTCAAATATGCACAGACTCTCAGTGATGCCCCTTGGTGCCTGCAGAGCAGACTGTTGCAGAGCATGTTTTTGCTGAAGAGTCAAATTGCAGAGAGTTTGCCATTCAGATCAACAGTTGGAACAGGCCAGCCAGCAACCCCCCTTTTTGCCGCCGTCTGGCTTGCGTTGAATAGCTGTCATCAAGCTGGAGCGCGGGGTGCGCTTTGTGTAGACCTCGTTACATAGCCGTTACAGACGTCGTTACGTAGCCGTTACATACCTCATTACAGACCCAACCCCAGCCCAGCCGCGCAGCTGTTTTGGGGTGTGCAGGTGGGCGGTAGGGTGCGCGCTAGGCACTCAGTCTGGGGTGCTGGCAAAGGTGCTGTTTTGGTGCGGGTGCATATTTGCGAGATTGACGGCCGGGTGCTCTGGGAGTGCTGTTTGGGGAGATGGCGCGGATGGTTTCTTGGGGGGGCTGGAGCGGGCGTGGCGTTTTTGCGAGATTGACGGCTGGGTGCTAGGTGGCATGTAATTTGGGGATTCTTGTGCAGGTGCCACAGTGCAATCGTTGGCACGTGTTTCGCTATGTGGGGTCTATGCTGGTGTAATTATTTTGTTTAACGGGTGGTGCCCAGGGTTGAGCGAAATGAAGAAAACTGCTGAATCCAGGCCAGTTCGAAAGCCAGCGAGAAGGTGGTGTTGCACCAATGGTTGCAACATGTTTAAGCCGGTGGTTGCCCCAACTTTGTTTATGCCTTTGAGTGCCACCGACTTGTGCTGACCATGGTCAACGCTTCCTCCCAGAAGCTTTGTGTGGAACAAGCAGCCAAACACATTGGTAGAGCCCTGGGACTTGGACAGAGAGTGGTGAATTATTTCCGTGCTCGTGGACTCATGTGAGGCAACCGCGGCCTGACAATTTTCTGATTGCGATTTTCGTACTGCGGATGCGAAATCCGTTCGCACCGCTTTGAAACCATGAGGAACACATTGTTAGCCGGTATTGCAGGAGAGTCATCATTGCAGGGTTTCCTAGGTGGTGCGAAATGGATCTCGTTCATCCACAGTCGTGCCCGTACAAATGCTAATCTGAGGGAACAATCACATGATCACATTGGATGTTCTTGGGCTCTCAGTACACAGGCATCTCACTGCGTTTCGAAACCAATAACGCACGGAATTGTCAAGTGCTTCTTGTGGTTTCAATCCCGGAAAAAAACAGCGACATCTGCACACACACGTGCGCTTGTTTTTTGCTTGCTGGTGCTCAGTCGGGAATGTGGGAAGGAACCCAGGGGTCCCCTTAAAGGAAGTTACAAGTTGGATGTTTTCTCTCGGGGTCATTTCAACTCATTCCCTGCTGAGAACCAGCAAGCTTGCCTCGAACAATTGCGCATGCTGGGGACAGGGACTGTGCGTAGAGGCTTCCCAAAGACAAACGGTTTCGCACCAGGGAAAGAATCAGTCCGCACTGGGGTTTTCCACGTGATGAGTCTCAGCGTCGTTGTGGCAATTCCCATGTGGGGGAATCTTGAGGCAGCACCCTGGCATGAGATTGTCCTATTCTGATCCCTTCATGATGGACCTCAAGGGATTGCTCCCACCCAGAGTTTCTGTGCGGGAAACATGAGCAGTTTGTTCGGGAGAATCGCATGCAGACATGCATAAGCTATGCTTTCGCCCTTTTTGGACTCCTGGGCGTTGTTTTTCAGGCCCCCTCCCCGACAAAAGCCTTCGGCCTGGCTTCCGCCGAACGAGTTTGCCGACTTTTGGCTTTTTTTCAGCTTCGCTCCAAGTTGTGGTTTTGGATTGGTGGTGGTTTTCCGTCAAACTTCGACAAACCAAGCCACCATTTGATACGGCTCAATTATTGACTCAAGATGACTCGAGTGAAACTTGGGCTCCCATAGAGTCTTGGTTTCCTTTTGCTTTCAGTTTAGACACCATCCAAAAGGGGCTTGAATCGGCCGCGAAACAAACGCGGAAGCCTTTCTTGAACCCTTTTCACCACCTGTGAATTGGGAATCGAACGCATGGAACCGATTCCCAAGTTTTATTCTTTTGGGATGGCCATGAGCGCGGGTTGGCAAACGTTCAACCCTCCCCTCGCTCATCCTGAGTATGAATGTTCAATCTCATTATTTTGTCCCCAAGCACAGCGTTGACCTGGTATTTAGAACTATGTCCGTTTCGGGGAATGCTGGAAACAGCCTTCTCCCAACGACTCCTTCCAACAGCCTCTCCCAACTCCCAATGGCTCCAGGCTCTCTCCCTTTCCTTTCCTTTCCTTTCCTTTCCTTTCCTTTCCTTTCCTTTCTTCCTTCTTTCTTTCTTTCTTTCTTTCTTTCTTTCTTTCCTTCTTTTCTTTCTGTCCCCTCTCCCCCATTCCTTTTTTGTTTGCTCTGTCTCTCGTCTCTTATGGCTTAGGCTGGTGCAAACCGTGGCGGCGGGCACCTGCCTCCTGGACGCCCGCGGCACGGCTTCGCTGCGCACGGTGCTGCGGGGCCTGGGCGTGGCGCCGGAGCCCAACCCCTGCAACACCTGGGGCGTGCTCTGCGAGGACGGGGCATGGGGCGGTTTTGGCTTCGGCCTTGAAGGTGGTGGTTCCAAACAGGGAAGGGAAGGGGGGGGGGGGTTGGTGCCAAACTTTGTTTTGCCGCTTTTTTTGGTTTTGGTGGTTGGACTTGTTGGTTTGATAGGCAAGAAATGAGGGACTGACACGAGAAAAGCCATCCCCTGCCTGAGCAGCAGCAAGTTGAAAGGGAAGCACAAAGGAAACAAAACCATTTCTATTGTCCACGATTTTGACGCGCCGAAATGGTCATAAGCCTCTGAACAGGAGGTGAACTTGGCGTCTGCGTTACGCCGAAAGGGGGGCGGTGTTTCTAAAAGGGGTCCCCCAAAATTGGGGTTTGAAGGTGAGACCAATGACTTTCTGAGATGTGATTGGGTTGTGGTTGGAGGGTGTCTTTGGTCTCTAGATGATTTGATATTCACATGGTCCCTTTCGGACACTTCAATTTGATGCTACGTATCTTTAGATGTTCACATTCCCTAAGTGTTAAATTGTTGAATCTCGACTTGTCAAGACATTGCCAAACTTCCCATGTTTTGTTTGGGAAGCAACTCATTTTGACCGCTCAGCTACTGGTTGCAAGAAGTAGCTACGGAGCTGGAGTTCTGAAAGGACAGGGTGGTCTTTTTGCGGTTTGGGTGCGAACTTAGAAGTCGGCATTTGCACGGAGAGGATTCAAGCTGTCGTTCCTTCCTGTGGGCAGCTGAAGTTTGCACATCTGGCATTGAAGCATTTTCTCCACTTAATGTTTTTTTTTGGGTGCTCTGCAGGTAGGCCCCAACCTGTCTTCGGGTGTTTCGGTCTTTCCGGTCCGGGTATACTTGGGATGTGACTCCTTCAAGCCAACTTGGGCTTGGCTGAGTGAACTAGGTGATCCGATTTTTAATGGTGCTTCAAGGAAAACCAAAGGGCAATCAACCATTCCCACAGGTCGCCTCAGGAACCATCCAGCGGCGAAGGAAGTAGTTTTACCGTAGAAGCAGCTGGGGGCTCGGTTTGGGGATGAGTTGCTTTGAGCGAAGGTCAGAAAAGAAATCCCCCGGTGCGGCTAAAAAGTCGGAGAGTTGGACTCCGACCGAAGCAGGAGGTGCCGACCTGTGAGGTGCTGTACTTGAGCATCCACGCCTCGGGACTCTCGGGGTTCATTTCGGAGGCCCGGCCGCTTTTTTGTTTTGGTCCCCCGAAAAGTTTGTGGCAGGCAGGCAGCGCCCATGTTCACTGGAAGTGCTACTTGGTGATGTGGCAAGTGCGTTGCCTGAAGGTTCCTAGACAGTTTTAAAGGAATCGGAGAGGACTTAGAATATGGCAGCTGCATCATCTGAGTCTAGCTGCGGAAAACCCGAGCCTGGCTGGTATCAATGCAGCGAAGAGGATGCAATTTGGAAATCGAAGCTAAACATTATGCAGCAGTGCCTGAGTTGCTCAGACCTTCGCCCTTCCTGCTTTGGTTCATAGTTGGTCGCAGCACGTCGATCAAACGTTGTAAAGTCTTTGTGGCCAGTGCGGAGCGATGAAGCAGCGCCCGAACTTGATAACCCATTGGCCATTCTGGTAGGTGGTTCATCCATAGGCAACAAGCGAGAGGTATCCATTCTTCAGAGGTGCAAAAACATGCCCCTGATTGGAGGAGTTTGTTTGGATCGAGCGATGTTTTAGCTTTGGTTTCCCCATTTGTACCAAAAAACTAGTTGCCTTTTTGTTTTGGTTTCCCTGTTTGGTTTCGCTGGATTCCCCGTATTTTGTACAAGAAAGTTTTGCTTGCAGCTTGGCAACGTCGAAGTCACGGAGGTGATGCGGGTTCTGCTTCACGCTAGCGGGGGAGGGAGGCATGATTCGACTGCACCAAGGCCATTGTCATCTTGCCTCCTGGGTACTTTCGATTGGCAGCTCGGGTCGGCTTTAAATTAACAACCAGAGGAGCCGCACTCATTTTTGGGGTCCCCGATTTTGTGGAGAACCCATATAAACCTTGACAACTTGACGACAATGTTGGTGGAACCCACAGTCAGGTTGCGTTCGTTTTGGTAGGAAACCTTTGCCATTTCAACTTCAAGGGCCTTGCTTGTCTAAGGAAACGGAATCACGGGATCCAGCAAAACTGAAACTTCATAATGCATCGCCAAATTGCGACCGCCTTTCCCCGAAAGGGGTGAGGTGCAATTCGCGGGCGGGGCGCCAAAGCACGAATGGATTTGACCTGTTTCTCACGCGAGGCGGTGGGCGGCTTGACGGAGCTGCGGAAGTTGCACTTGAACGATAACCAGCTGCACGGTCCTTTGCCGGTGTCGCTGGGGCGCCTCACCAAGGCTGCGTGGGGGAGCTGGCTGGCTTTGTTCTCGAACATGGTCTGGGGTTCCTGTTTTAAGACACCTGGTGATCTCTTGCAGGCGAGAAGCGCCGGAGGAACAGGAAAGCCGATTTGGTTCTTTTGTCCCTGGAGTGAGTAGGTGGCTCCTTAACCGGTGTCCGCCAATCGCCCTGGAACCCGTTGAAGAGATTGACAGCAGGTCTCAGAGAGCAGTCCGGCTCCGGAGTCATTTTCAACTGGGCTCCAGTGGAGACTCACATCGGCTCGGGGCTCCCGCGGTGAGACGTTTTCGTGAGAAATTTCGCGAAGGCGCGGCTGGCAGTTTCTGAGTCCACTCCTCGGTGCCCGAGTTGTTTTTCTTCGTTTTTTTTTCCCCCGCCAACTGAGAGGTTTCAAGAGGTTCCGACCACCTCTTTCAGGAAACGTTCCCAGCCTCTCTTTTTTTTGAAATTGGCCTCGTCCATTTCGGTGGAATTTGCCTCCAGTTGAGACACATCGAAGACTCGTGGCAGTTGACGGTGCTGGACCTCTGCAACAACCGGCTGATGGGCGAAATCCCGGAGTCCTTGGGCCAGCTCGCGCAGGCCATGGCCCCATGCCGGACCCGCACCTTTCCAGGGCCAAAGGGGCTAAAGGGGCCAAAACTTTTTTTGGCCAAAACAAGGCCAGCAGAGGCAAACAAATGCAAAAAGCAACAAACAAAGACAAAGGCCACACAAGGGTGAAAACAAGTCTAACCATTCAGAAAAGAGAGAAGGGTGAGTCGGGCATCTCGAATTCCCACGCCGGAAGGACATAGAGATAGTGAAATTAGCACCAAATGCGGCCTACCTTTCACCCCCCTGGTGAGGGGAATTCATATTGATTTCTTGGGTTGATTGGTCCGGGTGAACAGTAGAATATGCAACGAGTATGCACCTACAAATACACGTACATTAAACATGTACCTAATGAATATTTATGTGTACACACATGTTCCAGTCTTCCTTGGGCTCCCACCCCCCCTCAATGGTCATGCTCAATGGTCATGCTCAGTCAAGAAGGTAGCACAGACAAGCCCCCCCTTCCTGTGGTGGGGGGGCGTCCATGGTTCATGGTTCCACCCTGGTGGGAATGGGGGTTGGGGTCTATGTTTTGACAGGCCGAATCCCTTACTCTTGTTTCAGCCTGGGCCTTGCAAGAACCAGTACCTTGGCTGCAGGCCCCGCCCTGGATCCCATACCTTTCGGAGGGGCGGGGGTGCTGGGGACGATGGGCGACAGGATCACATATATATATATATACACACACACACTACACATTATACCTACACACTTTTGAGTCATCCTCGGTTTCACTAGACACGTCAAGCTTCCTTTTTGTTTGCCAGGCTTTGGCATCAACAGGCAACTCTGGGATCCGTTGGGGGCTTCAGGTGGGGGGGGGGGCTAAACAAGGAATCGGTTTTGGACCCCGAAACCACTGGTGAGTTGTTCGGCTCCAAACGAAGCGCCCCTCAGTGCTTTGCCGGAAGGTGAAGCGGCTGTTTCTGTGCGAAAACCAGCTGAGCGGGCCGTTGCCCTCGTCGCTGGGAAAGCTGCGTTCCCTGGAAGTCCTGGTGCTCTATGAGAACCGCCTCTCCGGGAGGAGCTTGGCAGCGCAACAAAGATTCCCAGTTCTTGCTTCTGGCTTCCCTTCAGCCCCCCCCCCGCCCCCAACTAAAAACACAACAACGCCCTTTTTCCTTGGGTCTCCCAGCCCGACCTAGCGGCTCAGGATCCCTGTGACTCTAAGACACCTGCCGCTGATGGAGGCCCAGTTCTGGGGCAACCCGGAGCTGGAGCCCAGGAGGACTGGGCCCATCGAAACCACCAACTCGAGGGGTTTGCCTTTGCTGGGGAGCCAAAGAAAACCACCCAGCACGGGGCAAAAAAAAAGAAACACCCAACTGAAAACTGGGGAAGGGGTCGTTTTTTTTTTTTTGGTGTGGGGGTGAGGCCTGTAACCTCTACAGGCACGAACCAACCGTCATTGAGATTGTGTTCCGTTCCCTTTCAAAGTCACAGACAAGGTCTGTGTCTGATTTGGGGGGTCGTTCTTTTGCTTGTGCTTTGAAGCCACCAAATACTGAGCCCCAACAAGAAGACATGCCCAAGTACCCTTCCTCTAAACCTGGCGAATGGCTCCTGGGGCGTTTTTCGCTGTGCAGGACCCAGCGCCCCTGGCTGAACTGCGGGCCGCTGGCCAAGGAGCTCCGGTTGGGTCTCGAGCGAAACACGAGGGATTTACGTTTAGAGGCTTTCGGAGCCGAAACCCATGTACCAGGTCACCTCAAAAGTTCCCCCTGTTTCAACCAAACAACAAATACCAAGAGAAGAGCTGCGTGCAAGCTTTGTGCGGCGTTTGGATTGGCGGGGCGGAGTCTGAAACAGGGCGTGAATTGCCTGCTGGCCATCTAAGTAGTGGAGAAGCCGCATTGGACCCTTCGGCAGTGGACTTCCTTGGGCCCCAAAAGCCACATTTGAACCGCAGCTTTCGGGGTTTTGGTGGGCCCTGGAAACATTTGCGAAGGACTTTTTTTCGAGGTCAGCTCCAAATGTTTGCCCTGAGGACCCGTGCAAGATCTTCCTGTTTCTGGATCCTGCAGAGTGCCTTCTTTGCGTGTCCCTCTCATTGGCCTTCGCGCTACTGGGGGCCTGGCTTCTGAAGACTTGGCAACAAAAGGTGGGGCGTTATTCGGCGCCATTCCCTGTTGGTGTTTCAGCTTAATAACAATTTGAACAGAATATAGTAATTATGTTCATAATAAGATGATTATAGCAACAGTAAACATCATATTGATTTGACAATTCTTGCCACATATTCTTGCTTTACAAGTATATGTTTATATTATATTTCGCGTCAAGCTCTTTTCAACACAGAGCAATCCAACTCTTGTCCCGCCGAAAAAAGAAGAAACAAAAAGAACACCTGTTCAACGCCAGAGGTCCGGCGTCCGGCTCACACCCCGCCAGGCCGCCCAAACCCCGCCTCACGCGCCCGTGGGCGCGCGTCAGCTGGCGGCGGCAGCGCTGCGCCCCACGAGGTGGCAAATGGCGAAGTTTTGGGGGCCTCCAGCGGGTGCTTCCAACGTTTTTCGTTTTTGTGAAGGTTTTGCCCTGGTTGTTTGGGAAAACCCGAACCTCTATCCCTTTTCTTTGGTTTCTTGTTTTCTTTCCTTTTGGTCGAACGGGGTGTGTTTTTCCGAAAACATCGCGAGGGGCTCTTCCGTGCGGAGCGCTTGGATCAAATTGCAGAGAGAACTTGCACGGGGGAGCTTGCGCCAAGAACTTGCACAGAGAGAACTTGCTCAGAGAGAACTTGCTCAGAGAGAACTTGCTCAGAGAGAACTTGCTCAGAGAGAACTTGCTCAGAGAGAACTTGCTCAGAGAGAACTTGCTCAGAGAGAACTTGCTCAGAGAAAACTTGCTCAGAGAGAACTTGCTCAGAGAGAACTTGCTCAGAGAGAACTTGCTCAGAGAACGCTTAGGGAACTTGCTTTTTATTTAAGCTCATCTTTCTGAGCTTGCTTGGAGACCTTGCTTAAGGAACTTCCTCATTGAAGTTGCTCTTGCTCGCAGAAGTACACATCGAAACTCTTCCCAAACTTGCATCATGGTGTGGGAGTGGGGGAGGGGGGTGGCTGTGCTGAACGATTCTTTCAAGACACTGGGAAACAATGCTTTCGGGCCAGGTGTCGTCTAGTTTTTGACCGTTGCCAACGAAGGTCTAAGAAAAGCGAATAAAATGAGCCTGCCATTCTGCTTGCTACAGCATCATTGGAAAGCCTTTGAAAATGGAGTCAGCCCAACTCTTGCGACGGGACAACGCGCCTTGATCTGCACTCTTAGACAAGTTCTTCTTGTGCATGGGGGAACCTCCAATTCGCAAACTCGGGCACGAAATGCGTAACTTCTATGCGGTTTGCACGTCTGGCATTGCAATGTATCTCACTTGGTGCATGCCGCAACACCAAAAGAGAAGAGTAAAACAACATGTCTGCACCCGCAATACCACAAGCCTTAAACCGCTACACCCTAAACCAGCATACCGTAAGCCTCGAATATATCAGCGTAGTCACAAAATCGGTCAGGGAGCTGTTTCGGGGTGGGGGGGAACCCTCAAACATCCCGAAGCCTGAGACCGTAGAGCAAACATGCGTGAACCAAGTTTCCTCCAACCATAAATAGGAACACAACAAATAAACCCTCAGCACTGAAACTATGGCTCTAAACGATAATATCAGAAGTCCAGAGCCCATGCAAAACAGAAGCTCTACCCAGGAACCATTCCCCGAGGCGCAGCCTGAATGTTTGTCCTGAATGCTTTGCCCTCAACTCCGTTTGAGGCAATTTTAGGAGGCCTCCTGTCAATTTACTCAAGGTTGGCAGGGACGCTCATGGACCCTTTCATTCGAGGTTTAGAAAAAAACAACGCCAGGGTTCCTGCAAAGGGAATCATGACCATAACCCGCGTTTTGGGAGTTTTGACCATGGCTCATTCCTCCACTGCGCAGGTGGTACCAGCATCTTGTCCTGGTGCTGGCCGTGGTTTCCCATGTCTTTGCGCCGCTGTGCATTGCGTGGATTGTACACCCGGAGCTGGTGGTTCTATTCCTTGCTGGCAAGGCGCTTCTGCGAAACAGCAGCAGCAATGCGCTCAGCTTCTTTCCGATTGGGCTCAGCGTCGGCAGCAGGCAGGGTTCCATTTTGAACCTGCAAGGACCTAAATAAAGGCGTCCCTTGGAAAACTGGGTTCTTTCGCTGGCTGTTTGTTTGGTTGGCGAGCTTGTTGGTTGGTTGGTTAGTCGTTTGGTTATTTGGTTCTGTGGTTGGTTGTTGAAGTCCAAACACGAAACCCGTGCCCATGCTCAGCAGGGAATGAGAAATGGAATGACCGTCACTTATAAACTATCCAACTGGTGTTTTGCTTTTTGGGGAGCAAAGCAACTGGGTTCATCCCATGTCTCATTCCCTACTCAGCCCACCAGCAACATAACCTTAGCAGCAGGTCCTACCACTCCTTGCTGTCCGAGCTGCTGGAAGTCTTGCTTCCCTTCGCCTCCTTTGCGGGTGCGATGGTGGCGCTGAATTTCGTGGACCCACAAACAATGTTGCGAGTTCTTATGAGGGAGGACCAGCAGGTGGGCGTGCTCAAAAATGAAGAGCTACACTTACATGCAGGCTTTGTAGTCCTTGTTTCCATTGACTAAGGTACCAAGTTCTTCAAGGTGCAAACATTTCCACCATTTTTGGAGCTACAGGTGATAGTCAACATATTGGCCGACCAGATGACTGTGGGCATCTTCATGGCCTGCGTGTGCTCTGCCACGGTGCTTTACTCGCTGGTCCTTTGCGCCCTTCTGATTTGCGCGGATCGGATCGCCCAGCCTGGCCCTTCGCCATTGGACTCGGATCGCCTGGCCTTAGCCTTGGCCAGGATCACTGCGCAGGAGTCGTGGGTGCAGCAGGACATCGCGGCGGAGGTGAGGAATGCGCAAGAGCCCAGAGCTGGTCCTGTGGAGATTGAGCTGGTGCCTGGTACGAGCTTCACGGCGGAGCCCGTGTCCTCTTGGGAGGTCCGTGCGGAAAACTTGGGGAAGAGGCGGTTGCTGATCCACTGGGATGGCAGGCAGGGTCAGCTTGTCTGAAGACGAACTGCTAAGATCAAGTTGTTTTGTTTGTTTCCCGACGTGTGTGCAGCTGTAGTTGTGCTTCAGAGGCTTCAACACCAAACAGAGGCAACGGGAGCCTCCTCCCTGCTCCCTGCTCCCTGCTCCCTGCTCCCTCCTCCCTCCTCCCTCCTCCCTCCTCCTCCTCCCTCCTCCCTCCTCCCTTATCATCCTCATCATCCTCATCATCCTCATCATCCTCATCCTCATCATCCTCATCCTCATCCTCATCATCCTCATCATCCTCATCATCCTCATCATCCTCATCATCCTCATATCATGGCACAAACTGAGCAGGACAGGCTGCCCTTTACGGAACTCAATACTACCCGCAATTGGTGGGAAGCAGCATGAGTTTTGACCGTAAATCTGACAGGTCGTGCCAAGTGCAGATGCTCTCGCCGGGCCAAATCTACCGGGACATGGGGGTGATCGTGGCAACATCCTTCACGGACCTTTTTGTGGCAACGCAATTTTTGGAAGGCCGCTCGTTCTCGCAAAAGCGCTATGTCCTACTGGCTATCACGGAAGCTAAGAGTCGCGTTGATGGTGCTCTCCGTGAAAGTGGTGTCCGTTCGCTTGAAGCTTGATTCGGTTAAGCTCCGGTGGGAGGGGGTGAGGGGGCAAACGGGACGGGGGCTGATTCAGCTTCGTGAATCATGGGTCGGTTCGGCAGGCCACCACGTCTGGTTTGCCTTTCTCACATTGGCCACGTCTTGGTGTTCAATGCTGCTGGAGTTGCAGACCTGGAGGTGCGAGAACGTGAAAGGGACAGCTAGGCCAAGCGGTGACCCCTTTCTTTGGGACCCCCTCGGTTTCAAAGTCACTGACCACTCAGGTGATTGGAGGGTACCGGGTGCATCAAAGTCATTAAAGGCATGGGTTTGTGTGCTGTGGAACCGCGGGGCAAGACTTTGATCGGAAAATCCCAGTCTGCGACACCGACGCCAAAAGGAAGCCATCTTGGCCATCTTGGTGGACGAGCCATACCTACAAACGCAATTTGGGTGTGTCTTTTGTGGGGCGACCCGGCAAAATGGTGGTTTCTCTTTTGGCTTCCCCCAAAAACCACACAGACGGGCGGGCAGCCCCTCAAAAAAATGAACGACGAGCCGCCCGCCGCCCATGTCCGGCGTCCCCGGTCCGCCAGGAACCTGAGGGCGGAGCTGCGCAAGAGCGTGGCGCAGGGCTTCTACACGGACCGAATGGTCGCCATGCGCGACTCCGAGCGGGGCATCGAAGGCAGGTCGACACGGCCGCGTTGGGGCGGAAGCGGCGGAAAGGGGGGGAAGGTGGGAAGTGGCAGGGTCTGGGGATCTAAAAGCAACATCCCGAGACACCGAAGAGAGGTCAGTTAAGGCAGCTGAGGTTTCAAGGGACTCCTAAGTCACCTGGTCGGAGCGTTTCTGACGGGGAAATCCCCTCCGAACTCGAAGAGAGGCGCGGCCCGTGACCCAATTCTTGGGCAGCCTGCGCGAACCCCCCCGCGAGGCTTCATTGACCTGGCGCTGAAGGTGTATGGCATGCCGTATGGTGTGGACTCCAACTTGGACTTCATCAGCTTTCTCTTCGCCATTCTGCGGCTTGGTGACCCTTGACCATGGGTTTGCGGGGAAAAGCGACTCTCTAGCCCTCGAGAACATGGCGCAGGAATTCGGGGTTTGAGCGCTTTGCAGACTGGCCTGGCCGAAAACACCGGCCATATGCCCCCGTTCTTCTAACCAAGTGCAAGTTTGGGTATTGAAGGCTCCCTTTGCTACCAGGGTCAAGGAGTGACTCGGATGCCAACATGAACCGCCTCTGCATCACAGTTTGCCACCAGAAAGCCGCATGGTCATATTTGTCTTCAGGTGAGTTTGGGGAAAGCCTGGGATGGATGAAACTCGGTGCACCACAGTTGGTAAACCACCAAAATAAGCCGGCCAACTTCCAGCGAAGGATGGGCCTCCGGGGTCTGGTTCTCATGCTGCGGACACGCGACCAGCTGGCGGGCTACCCCTGAGCTGAGCGAGCCACCACCGAGCAAACGGCCGAGCCCGAAGGCGGGGGTTCTTTTGCATCCTGTGGCTGTCTGAACAGCCCGAGAAGGAAACCAGCATTTTCGCAACCGCCTTAGTGAGCAGTATGCTTCGGATAAATCAAGCGAGCAGTGAACCTGATTGCCAATGATTCCGAGTCTGGCGCTTTCAGGTAAGAGCCAGCCCTTGTTTCAAAACAAGAAACTCAGATGATCAAGTGCCGGAAACAGCTGGTGCCAGAAGGAGAACTGCCTGGAGACACAGACTGCACGCCGCGCGCGCACACGTGCAGACACGCAGACCAGACACGCGCAGGCGCTCAGACACAGATGCGCAGACACGTGCGGACACGCAGACCAGACACGCATAGACGCGGACACAGATGTGCGCAGACACGCACACACGCGCAGGCATGCGCAGACACGTAGATACCTGCAGACAAGCAGACAAACAGACAAGCAGACACGCATACATACATACATACATACATACATACATATATATATATATATATATATATTATTATATTACATAAAGCCACACACACACAGACCGACGCAGACATGTCTTTTTGGTTCTTTTCTGCCGTAAGATAGTCTGCGTAGATCATGACCGCCCAATTATGCCATCAGTGGGAGTGGCACACCCCGTTTCCAGATGCAAGAAGTCCGATTTGCAGATTCGCAGCCATCCTGATCGCCCAGCTTCAGGACTGGTTGCGCGTCGACATACGCGACTCCACAGATTTGCGGCGGCGCTGTTCTCGTCGTTGTTTGAGTGGGACGTTTACAGGCAGGTGAACACATCACCTGCACCATCAGAATTTCAGTTTTCGCATCTTGCCAACACATTGCGACAACTTCCTGAAGCAAGAGAAGCCTCATGCCTCTTTGAGACAGTGCCCATGATCAAATCAGATATGACGATTACCCACGTGCTCCGAGCCACAATTCGGGAATTCAAATTCGTGTTGACAAGACGGGAATTGGATTCGGCAAACGCCGATGCGCAAGCGATGCGTAAGCTCAACATGCTTGCTGGCTGCTGCGCAAGCTAAAACATTCGCGTAGGGAAAGCGCAAGCTCGCGCGGAAGCAACCTGATACGACATAGGGATTCATGGGAGGTTTATAGAGTCGCTCGGTTTTTCCTTTAGGATCATGGGCTGGTCTGTCCTGACCATCCAGCTTCGCAAGTGGTCAGAAGCAGGGGATCAATTAAGTTAAGTTTCCATTGGGCGGTACTAAGCAGCGGTTTTAGTTGTCTGACGCTGCAGCAGGCGCGTGCCCTACAAAACCAGATGATGGGAATTGCTCCGTTGCTAACATATTCTTTGACAAAGGCAGAAGGTTTGAAAACAGAGCTGCAGTGAGGATGAGGTCCGCTCGGTTGTCAACAAAAACATCCAACACTCGCAAACGCATGGGCCGCGTCCGTTGACTTCTTGCATGGGCCTGTTGCATGGATACACAGACGGGCGCATTTTATTCAGCTGTCATCTTGTTTCGCCCCGTTCAATGGACTCAGCGATTGTCGTAGCAAAGACCGGTGCTCAAGCGGTCGGATCCGAGTCTTGTGGCCCGGCAAACATCTCGGCTTTCGCCCTCCGGCCCTCCGTTCCTCAAACCCAAACCGCCGGGGTGCCGGTGGCTTGCCCAACCCCGCAGTCGGCCCGGGCCTCACGCAGGCCATCGAACAGAGATTGATGAAACTGGCCACACATGAGCTTGAGGGGCCGAGTGCTTTGTGCCATCGCGTATTATCGGCACTGCCATTGAACTGTGTTCGGTTCCAACATCTTTCTTGCACCTGGCCGGGAAGGGGGAAGTTCTGGGCTCCATAGAACAGACAAGGCAGATTTCGGTTGAATGGAAGTTTTGCAGAGAATGAGGTGTCTGAGGCTTGAGGCTAGATGTTTTTCCCCGAATCGTGTCAATAGCCAATTGAGCCTTATCTACCGACACGCACCTCCCCTTCCACCTCTGCGAGCGGCTGGCTCCTCATGAGCAAACAGATTTCCTGTCTCCAAGCAACTGATTATTGCGCCCAGAACCTGCATGCAGCCTCGGGACTTGTTAAGGGTGTGTAGCAGTATCTCATGCCACATGCGGGGAACGCCCAAGTCAGACCAAGCTTAAGCTGGCAAGGCAAGTTTCGATTTCATAGGACTCTTGTACTTGTATACTCCCGTTTCAAAACCAACAGGCTAAGCACTTGTTGCAAAGGACAAGCTTTGTGCACACGTTGACTTGCAACACGTTATGCACTTGTGTGGGTATGTTAGGACCATTTTTGTCCATTCACGTGTATTCAAAAGCTGCAGCGCGAGTGTCCGCATCCCAGGAGGTCATCAGTCGCGGTCCGCCCCTGCTGGTCCGGGTGGCGCCTAGGGCCTGGCGGAGGGGCTGAGGCCTGGCGCAGCTGACGCTGGATCCGGCGCAGCTAAGAGCTCTGCGGGCTTCAGGTGGCCCTTCGAGACAAAGAAGCTTGATGTTGGCATCGCCAGGGACCTCCAGAAGACTGTTGCTGGAGGCCACGGGTTTCAAGGCGTTATTGAGTTCCAATGATGTGTGTACTATGCTAGGCCTTTAAAGTACCTGCTTGTCTGCGTTCCATTACGGCAGGTCAGACTGAAGCAAAGCTACAGCAACGTGGCTGTGGGTCAAAACCAATGGTACCATTTTGGGTAGGTGCACCACCCATTTTAGTCTATGTCAGTGGGGATTGGGATGTTCGCTGAGGGTACGGAATTTTGACCTCTCGCTCGTTGGTCTTCCGCCTACCAGTTCTTCAAGTGCAGGACAGCTTGAGGGCCAACTGCTTTGTGCTCACGTCGTGTATCATCGGCACCGCCATGTATATGTGTTCGGTCGCAGCATGTGTTTTGCACCTGCCTTCTCAACGAGAGGCAGGGAGGAATCCTGGGGTCAGCAGAACAGAGAG